TTCAGCCGTACCCGTCGCGGGGCTGCGGGTCGTTCCACATGAGCTGGGAAAAAATCTCGTCTTCGAGGCAGTCAAGGCGGCTGGTCGGGATCTCTCGCAAGTGGTCAATGGCCTCGATGTCGTTCAGGGTGACGTTGGGTTCGATCGGGAGGCCGCCGTGGACCTGGGCGGCGCGTGGATGAGCGTCATTCACGTGGCAGCACCGTCCGTACGCACCACAAACACCGAGTCCTGGATAAGCGTGCAGAGCGGGAGCCGGTTGAACACAGCTTCAAACTTGTCAAACAGCAACGGGTACTCGTCGGTCGTGTTGTACTTTTTCGCGACTTCATCGGCAAACCCAAACACTTGGTTGAGCACGAGCGCTTCGTGGTTCCCGCGATTCAAAAACACAAAGTGCGGGTACAGCAGCGAGTACGCGAGCAACGTGCAGATGACTTCGACGCCGTGGAGGCCGCGATCGACAAAGTCGCCGTTGAACAAGTACCACAGCGTTTTGCTTGGAACCTGGCCGAGAACACAGGAAGTGGGACGGCGGATCGACGATGAGGCGTACCCCCTTGCGATCAAAGATGGTCATGAGGTCTTCATATTGGCCGTGCAAGTCGCCCACGATAACCAACTCGACGCCTTTGGGAATCTGTATGTGCGTCATCGTGGCTTGCGGCGGCCGGTCCAGCACTTCTTGGACCAGTTGCATGACGTAATGGCCATGCAGCACTTGGCCGCTGCGAAATGCGTCCGATAACTTGAGCACCTGGTTCTCCGTCAGCGGGAAGCTCAGATGCACGCCGCGGTAGTGCTTCAAGCTGTTGTCTGCACACAAACATCGAGTCCTTAGCCGCACGCCAACAGGTCGCGGCACAAAAGCAACCCGACGACGTACGCAAGTTCGACGACACGTCCGTGCGCTCCTCGTACGACGGCGCGAGAGACGCGAGCTCGTTGACGCTGATCGTGTTGCGAATGATCTTGACCTACACACATCACAGAGTCATGTCCGGCGCTCAAAAAGCGTCCTTTCAGCATCCCAAGATGCCATGGCCAAGCGATCCGTCCACAGCAAACTCGAACAGCGAAACAATTCACGTACGATTTTGACCGTCTGTTGCTCCTGGAGAGACTCCAGAAGCGTCCACGTGTGAAAATGCAGGAGGGCGCGGAAGAGCCGATACGCCAAGTGCATGCGAAGGCAGCACTTGATGCGGTTCGCCGCCAGCACCTTCTCGGAGAAGCGCTCGACGTACTTCACCGAGACGAGCGTTGGGGGGGTCGTCGCGGGGTCCGAGAGGTACTGCACGGCGAGGGACATGGCCGAAGGATGCGACGTCAGCTGATGCGAGAGAAACGGTTTGGCCGTGTCCTTGGACACGACAATCATGGCGGGGTGCTTGCCGTACACGAGAACCTTCGTTTGGGGTGCAAAGTCTTCTGGAATGGGATCGCAGTCGATGCATACGAGGACGGGAGACGTGTACGCCAAGAGTGGAAGCTTGTCGATGGCGTGGCTGCATGCGGCGCACACACTGCTTCCGCATTTGCGGCAATGGTGCGGCCGATTGAACCAGTGGAAACTCATGTGGCACACTTGGCAGAACGGAGCGTTCAGGGCCCAAGCAGGCCGCATCGCGATGCGCAGCGCGCGCGTCCACCGTTCGTAGTGTTCCAGGGTCGTCGCTTGGAGTTTCCAACTGACGACGTTCCCCGTCGGTCCAAACCCAGACACAAGGATCTCCTTGGACTTTCGAAAGCAGCGCATCTCGGAGCTTGGACCGGGAGTCGCGCCAGCAAACGAGTTTGACCGAAAGTCGCGCGTCCCGTTCAAGTTTGAAGCGGCTTGCGGCGATTCAATGTCCTTTGCGCAGAACGACGGGTGGAGCATCATGGTGCCACGCAAGTTTCGATTGCTCAACTGGCTCGTCTGCGTCAATTTGATGGAAGGGATGTGGTAGACGATGTCGCCGCACGCGTTAATCGTTTGCCGCAGCGTAATCTCGTAGTACTTGAGCAGTCCCGACGCCTCCAGGACAAAATACCGAAAGTGCGCGTAGTCGCCCTTCTTGATCAACGGTCCCTCCGCCAGAATAGACGTGGAGAAAATGCTCTCGCCGAAGCAGCACGACGCAATGCGGGACACGACGGACATGAATGTTGTCTCTTCGTCAACGCCGCCGCTGTTGGCACTCCCATACCGAAGCATGTCGATTGCCAAGTTGGCAAATTCGTCGAAACCTGTAACATTCGATTCGACGATGCACGATATTATATTATGCAGGAACCTTTCCCAAACAAACATGTTTTATGCGAACTCCATGCGACAGGGACTCGATGACGCTTGGAGATGGCCGTGCCGTTGTTGCGCGGTGTTCGTTAGATGGACAGCTAAGAGAGTGCCGCAAGACCGTTCTGCCGTTATGTCCCAGGCAATGCACCCCGCCGAATGAAAGGAGTCGTGGTTGCTTTGCTTCGAGCGGCGCATGGGTTCAATTAGTTGCGAGCGACGACGTGTATGGCCACCGTGGGGATGCCGACGGAGTTTGCAGGATCTTTGTTACACTGCTTCTCCAACCTTTCTCGCGTTGAGATTCACTGCAACCCATAGAGCACGACTGGTTTTATGTCGCTGTGTGGGTTCGCATAGTTTCGCTCTCATGTGCAGCGAACTGCTCTAGATTTGACCACAAACGGTCGAACGGGACCCACCGGAACAAAGTCGACTACGAACGCTTCCAAGAGTCGCCGGCCGATTTTCAAGCACAGGGATGGCAACCCCACGTGCGAAGGTGTCCACCACACCGCTGTTCCGACAAAAAGTCGCCCATGGCTCCGCCCACATTGGTGCGACGAAGATTGCCCAGAACATGGTCCTGCGAGATGTTCTGGGCGGCGGCGGCCCACTTGGCTAAATATAGCGTCGCCAGTCACTCGATATCATAATAATTCGTATCGATCGTTGTATCGATTAAATCGTCGCATGGGAATGGGAACCATGCCAGCACAAAGCGGTCATTTCTCAATTCGCCATGTCCCGCCCCAGCGCCACGCAATCCCAGAACGTCAACAACTTCCTCAGCGAGCGCTCAAGCACTCGGCTGGCCAAGCCCCCTGGCGGCGGCTCGACCATGGGGTCGCTCATCTTTGGGGGAGACAACGCTGCGACGTGCGACGATCGCAAAGGACGCCGAGGCATGGGCTCTCGCCCCGAGCACTGTTCTGGAAGCCAAGTGTTTCATCACGACATGGGCGCGATCGTGAAAACGAACAACAGCAGCAACAACAATTCCAAGGAAACGGAAAAGTACCAACGACAGCAACAAGAATACCTTCAGCAGCAACAAGACCGTCGCATCTCAGTCAACAACCAAGGATCTAGCGACATCTTTCTGCGCAATGCCCCGGTTGCCATCGCTGGAGATCGTCGCACGAAACGCATGTATGGTGGCGGCCAGTCAGACTTTAAACTGTCATAAATACTCCCAAGTCTGCAAACGTCCATGATCGGCGGGATCGCAACATGCACATCGTAGTCGAGACTACTGTACCTACAGGGGCACCGTTCGTACCACTGCCATCCCACTTTCAGTGTAGCCCGGAGCGCATGGCAGTGCCAAGATGTGGTTGAAAAAGAAATGCGCCATCCGGGAATCGAACCCGGGGCATCTCGATGGCAACGAGATATTTTACCACTAAACCAATGGCGCTTCATGTAATAGTCATTCTCATAGACATAAGAAGAAAAGTAAATATGACTTCATGGAAATGAATCGATACTACCGGTAGTATACTACTTACAGTACTAGTATACGTGGCAGAGAGAACTGTCGTCCTGGATGTCGGATGGGGTGAAGTGGCATCGCACCTCGACGTGTCAGACGCTCCATGGCGCCGCTAGAAGGACAGCTCGATGATACGAAGCGGTTCGAATGGACGCAACCGACCGTCGCATGCTATGACTCGAACACCGTGAGCGTCGTGTCGGCGCCACGCCATTGGCGGGACTTTGCGTTTGTGCGCAATGCGTCGCATGTCGAGTTTGAAGAAGGTAGTATCGCGCACGACGTTCACGTAGAAGGCTTGCGAAATGTCCAAGAGATAGGCTTTCGTCAGTGCGACTTTATCGAGTCACCACATGCGCTGGCCCGATGCCGCTCGCTTCGGTTTCTGTCGTGCGAAAATCTCCATGATTTGGGCGAGTTGACCAGCGTCAAGCACCTGAATATATCAGGATCGCGGTACGTCCTCTGCAACTCTACAACTGCACTGCGACCGTCTTGCGTAGGACAGCGACAAACGTGCACAAGTTAACGTTGCTGGAGTCACTCGTCGTTGGGAGCACCTATCCGGCGGCTCTCCCGTCCGTGGCAACCAGCCTCACGGCGGCTGCGGTCAGCGTGCCATGGTCGTCCATGCCACTGGTGGTGTCGGAGCTCCATCTAAAGCATTGTCAGTCGTTGCCATCCTCCATTCCATTCCAAGCGACAAGCGTGTCGTTGTCGTCGTGCGAACAACTTGAGACGATCCGTTGCTTTCGCTTGGCGTCGCATGTCGAGATGGTGCGCACGCGGCTCCTTCATGTCGACGCGTTCCGAGGGTTTTCGTTGTTGCAGTCGATTCGACTGCAAGCGTCGACGTGTCTGCAGGACGTTTCCGCACTGCGCAACGTACACGACGTGTCCCTGTCCCTGTGCGTGAACCTCCAGGACGTGGCGCCGCTTGCCCATGCCAACTCGGTACGTCTCATCATGCCATTCAAGATGTCAAGGCCAAAAATTAGATTGACATTTCGTGCTGCCCGCAAATTCAGTCGGTTGCCGCTTTGGCGCATGTGCCGATGTGTCGTTGAGTCGATGCGCCGATCTCGTGGACGTGTCCAGCCTCGTCAACAACCACGTCGTCCGTGTCTCGGTGAAATGCATATTCACCATCGCATCGTGGGGTCATCACAGAACTTGGATAGGAATGCTACCGTGTTGTTCAAGTCAGCGCATTGCGCGAACACTGCCACACGGTGGAAATATCGAGGTGCTATCGGGTCAACGACGCCCACCTCCTCGGTCATGGGTCGCTGCACTCGGTTACGCTGAACGGTTGCAACCTCGGACCAGATCACGCCACCGTGTGGATGAATCACCCGACGCTGTGCACTCTCGATCTGTCCAACAACTGGGACATTGGCGATGTTTCAAGCCTTGCACACCTCCACACGATCCATCTTAGCCGCACGAGTGTCACCGACGTGGCGCCGCTCGCTCACGTCCACACGTTGAGTTTGTCGGGTTGCGAGATGCTGGAGGACGTGTCGTCGCTTGGTGGCGTGCACGCGCTGGACCTCAGTTACTGCACGAGAATTCGAGACGTCAGTGCGTTGGGGTTTGTGCACACGCTCAACTTGGCCGGGACGTTGGTGGAAGTCGTGGCCGACTTGAAGACCGTGTACAACCTCAACCTGAGCGGGTGTCCGTGCGTGAATGACGACCAAGTGAACGCGCTCGGGCTGAACCACACGCTGAATTTGATGGGGTGTTCCCAACTCACGCGGGTCGACGGGTTGCGGTTTGTGCACACGTTGAACATAGCCAACTGCGTCGGACTCACGGACGTATCGATGCTGCGCCACGTGCACACGTTGGATCTCACGGGTTGCATCCACCTTGAGCCATGCTGTTAATCGCGACCGTCTTGCATGTGCCTGACCTACCTCGCCGTTGCCGCGCAGACGGCAAGATGTCGTGTTGAGATGACGTTGCGAGGCACCCCACGTCTTGACCAATCAAATCGCGCGACCGCGGTACCTTGAACAATTGGACCAATCAAATCGCATCATCGTTGAACTTCAAGTTGAAGGGCGTGCCACAAATAAATGGGCCACCACACAATCCGCACCAGGTTGAGATGGCGTCGCTTCCACGCGTGAGCTCCGAACATCGCGGCGCGCCTTCTTCGACAATCGATCTCTCTCCGTATGGGTGTAGGACGATTGTGGACTTGGACTGATGGTACACCCAGTGCAGTTGCCAACGCATTTCGTGCCTCCGCCAACCCCCGTTCCATATTTTCACCTCTCTCAAACGCGCATTTGTCTCACTGCCGTTGGAAATGTGTGGTGACGAGTATTCCCCAACGCCATCATGTTCTCGACCATTCTCTGCCCATCGTCCGCTGGCAACGGCTGAAGTGGGACAATCAGTGGCGGGGCTGCCCTGAAAGCCCTGGGCACTCCGTCTGCTTGCGCCAACGGCACCTTCCTCGTAGAAATGATGCTGCCAACGAAGGCCGACACGATCCGGATGCCTGGTTATCCGGATACTTGCGTGCAAAAATGCAGCAACTGATCGTGTCGACGGGCCGCCCAGAGGCAACATGCGTGAAGGCCAACATGCCGTAAATATTAAATAGGATTGAGAGGCATTCGCTCGACTAGTCGCTCCAATAATCGGACAAGTTCGCAGTCGGAATGTCGCGGTATGCACGGACAAACAGCATTTCTTGCACACTAGGTCGAGGAATCGGCGAGATGCTGCGGTCAATGTCTTCGGCGAGGCCGACGCAGACTTCGTCCGAGAAGGACACTTTGCGTACGCGGCTATACGTTTCGTCATCGTCCGCGTCGGCACTGTACGTTCGGGTGTGTTGTTGGTTGACTTTCGACAGAATGCCGCGGCGCGATTCCTTTGCAATTCGTTGCGTCGTCTCTTCAACCTTGGCCAAGATGCGAAACGCGCACTCGTATTGTTGCAAGTCCATGCATCGTTTTGCCAGCGTGCACGACTTTTGCACGAAAGCAATTGCGTCTTGCAAGTCTTCGGACGATTTCAACTGGTCCAGGCACGTGCGCTGCTTCTTCACGGGGGAGCCCAACGGCGCCGATGCATCTTCGCTGTCGAGCGAGATGACAGACATGTTGAGCGTGGGTAGTAAGGGCGACATGGAAGCAGTGAGTATGTGGACGGCACGTGGGGCAACCGCAGAGACGGCAAGTCGTGTGCGACTCCACCGATATTTCGTTGAATGCAGAGTGCGCGTGAAAATTGAAATGCTGCGACGTTGCCTATCCGGATAATCGAATCCCCGGAACTTGCTTTTCAATAAATTCTCGAAAAAAATACGTCGCTGGCTCTATGAGCCAAAATTCTGCGAAATAAATGGGGTTCACCCCGAAGATTCTGGAACAGAAAAAGTGGGAATCTGGGCTGGTCCGACGGCGACGACACCGTGCGTGGCTGGCGGGAGTGGGGTAGCTACGTGGGGCGACATCGCGCTCATGCAAGCGCCGCCATCTCGAGGCTTGGCGTTTTGGTAGCAGCATGGATTCACGGTTCATGTGTTTTGAATCTGCATCCCGTCGGCGAATATCGGACGCATATGGCAGCTTGAGCAGCTGGGGAAGCGTCCTTAACACAGAGTACTCGCGGTGGACGTGACGTATGGGAGCGGAGAAACGTGGCGTTTCGGTCTGCATGATGCGCTCGCTGGACTGCACAGCAGTCAGAGGAGTGGGCGGGGAACCAGCCCAATGGTGGCAAAATACACTTCACTACACTGCCCCACTGCCTCGGGCCAGAGATGGTATGCAGATGGCGCAGGCGGTGGCCATGGGCCAGTTGTTTCGTTTGGAGCACACCCACACACATGTGCCATGCGGTCCGAGTTCTACTTGGCTCAACGGAAAGAAGGACGAGTTCTCACCGTGGAACCCGAGAAAGACGATATTGCACGCGAAGCTCGCAATCACCTCGATCATTGACACCCCAACGCGCTGCGGAACGAAAGACGGCTGACGACCGAGACAAAGAGCGGCCAAAAGATGTAAACCTGCTCCTCGACGCCCAGCGACCACAAGGGCAGCAGCGAATTCTCCATGACGCTCGCGTCAAAGTAGCCCTGCTCGATCGTGAGCAGCTGGAGGTTGGCGCTGAACAACGTCCTAGCTGCCATGGACCGGAGCGCCGTGTCCAGCAACCACACGCACCCGACGACCAGCGTTTACGTGAGGACGAGCAGCAAGGCAGGAATGATGTGGCGGATGCGCCGCGAGTAAAAGTCGGCGTTCGTGAACGTGCCTTTGGGGTTTTCCTTCAATGGGATCCCAGAGATAACAGATGACGAAGATGACGACGACGCCAATAAAGCCGCCTTGGATCGAGTGTGGGTACGCGTGGAAGTGGACGACCGGAACAACAGCGAGCGTTCGGAGGCTGTCGATGTCGGGGCGATACTTGATTGGGGGTTTGGATGCCGCCGGTGAACGTGGTGGAACGTCTTCCGTCATGTGATGCCAAACGTCGTGCTTTCATCGCCTTTGGACGTACCATTGCTGGCCGATGATGGAGTCGCCAGCATGGTTTGTGTGACGCAAGGTTTCGAAGGTGCATGGTCTGAGCGAGAAATGTCCTGGATCAAGGTGAGCTACACATGTCCATCGTGGGCGCTATTTCACGTTCTTTTCGATCAACTAGTCCTTTCGGGTAGGGGAATTGGGACTGCTCTCCGCAACTTAATGGTCGCGGCGTAAGACTTTGATTCAAGAGTAATACATGAGGCTGTTCTCCATACATATTCCCTACATGGATATGAATGGCTCACATAGCTTCCTGTGATCCTGTCTTGTGCCATGTCATTGTGCGGAACCCATGTCTTCCATGGACATGCGCCTTGAGATTCAAGCGGAAGCAGGGAAGGAAAAAACCTCAGTCCTTTTTTGAGGAAATGAGGTTATAGGTTAAAAACATTAAAACCTCAACTTGAGACTATAAAACCTTTGGTTGTATTCTGCATACGGTTCCACTCCACTCCCCTACACTTCGCTGCCAGACGGATCATCGTCGGCTTCATCGTGCAGGGCGTAGTCGTAGAACGCTGGCAAGTTGCTTTTGATAAAAGTCAGGTTGTCGACGTGCTTCGGGTTCAGGCG